GCCACCACGCCCGGCTAATTTTTTGATTTATTGTAGAGATGAGGTCTCACCAAGTTGCCCAGGTTGGTCTCAAACCCGTGGGCTCAGGCAATCTTCTCACCTAGGCCTCCCAAAGTGCTAGGATTATAGGCGTGAGCCACTGCGCCCGGTCTAATATGTTTTATTTTATTTATTTATTTACTTATTTGAGTTGGAGTCTCACTCTGTAACCCAGACTGGAGTGCAATGGCCGCTCCCGGCCAGCGCAGCCTCGACCTGCTGGGCTCTGGCGATCCTTACACCTCAGCCTTCCAAGTAGCTGGAACTACAGGCGCGCGCTACCACGCCCGGCTAATTTTTGATTTGTTTTATAGATGAGGTCTCGCCAAGTTGCCCAGGTGTGTCTCGATCCCGCGGGCTCAGGCAATCCACTCACCTTGGCCTCCCAAAGTGCTGGGATTACAGGCTGAGCCACCGAGCCCGGCCACAAGAAATCTTAACAAAAAACAACTCCATGAACTATTTACATCATTTTATCTCTTTAATCTTTTACTAAGGTAGACCAAGCATAAACTATTTTTTCTTGCTTTTTTGCAAGCATTTCCATGTATTCACATCGCCCTCAACAGCTTTACAGAGCAGTTATTCCAATGCTTCATTACAAATATAGGATATCAAAAGGGAGAAAGATATATATGATGGAATATTACACAGCCATAAAGAAAAAATTATGGACTTTGCAGCAACTTGGATGGATTTAGAGTCTATAATACTCAGTGATTTATCACAGAAACAAAGATCTGAGTACTATATGTACTCACTCATAAGGGGACCCTGAACATTTATAATACTAAAAGGAAGGGGTTGGCAGTAGCAGGACACTGTGGGAGGGGGCACATAATATCATTAAGGGTACCCAAAGTTTACCCGCACGATGACCATTTACGTACCTAACCCTGAATTATACTCCACATCTTTAAAATAAAATAATTACTTTGCTTTTTAAAAAGTGAGAAAGAGGCTTACAGAATTCATCCATTCAAATATTAGGCTACTAGACGTACGCGGGCCTAATGCAGGTGCAGGGAACTGTAAACGAGACAAAAATCTCTCCCTTCAGGGAGCTTACATTGTACTGAGGGATCAAACGCTTAAAATATGTCTTGTGATATTAAGAGTTAAGGAAGCAGCCGGGCTCGGTGGCTCAGCCTGTAATCCCGCGCCTTTGGGAGGCTGAGGTGAGTGGATTGCCTGAGCCGGCGAGACCTCATCTGTACAATAAATAAAAAAACTTAGCCGGGCGTGGTAGCGCGCGCCTGTAGTTCCAGCTACTTGGAAGACTGAGGCGGAAGAATCGCCGGACCCAGCGGGTCGAGGCTGCGGTGGCCGGGAGCGGCCACTGCCCTCCAGCCTGGGCGACAGAGTGTGACTCCAACTCAAAAAAAAAAAAAAACAAAACAGTTAAGGAAGCAATGTCAGAAGACGGAGTATGCCGTGGGATCTCTATTTAGAATAATGAAGGGCGGTCTCATTTGAGGCAGTGACGTTTGAATTAAGACCCAAAGATGGCCAACTGGGGAAAGAATCTAGTCCAATTGAAGATTTTCCAGAGCAGAAAACTGAAGTCTAGCAAGTGAAAGTGACCTGAGCTATTGCACCGAAATCAATTTCTTTTCTTTCTTGTTTTTGAAAGCAGGATTTATCGAAAGGACAGGGAAGCTGGGACCCGAAGAGGTTGCCCCCGGAAATCAATTTCAACTATTCCCCATCGGTAGTACATTTGGATCTTGACATGTATCAAGCGCCCTCTGGCCATTTTTAGATGCTTACCTTGGGCGCTCTTTCCCCTGCTTGAAGCTAGGTCAAAAGGCCATGACTTAACTCCCCACCCAGGGGCATCTGGTCGTCCCTTAATGTCTTTCCCGTCCTTTTTTCCATAGGCGAATCCCTTCCCCACACTCCCAGCGTTGTTCTGTTTGAACGCAATCCCCTTGGGCCCGGCCGAGGCGGGCCCGAGCCGTCGTCGGCCTGTTCACCCGCCGGCGGCCTGTTCACCCGCCCGCAGCCTCCCTCTGTGTTCGGGCGCCCGCGGCTCCCCGCGCCGGCGTTTAGGCCCCTAAACCCCCGACGGCCTCACCTGGCCGGAGGGGCCATGCGGGAGGTGCGGCTTCGGCTTCCACGCGGCATCGTGAGTACCCGGCGGCCCCGCTTCTCGACGTGCGAAACTACGAAGAGCCCACGGACTTCTGCGAAGGAGAGCGGAAGACGAAGGGCGGGGCAGGCTCTGGGTGACCAATCAGTGCACAGACAGAGGACTTCCGTTCGCGATGACTCCGCGGCTCTGAAGGTCATTGGAAGAGCAGAAAGTCACGGGGCGGGGCGCGCTTCGCCTTACGCGGTGACGTCATTAGCTCGGCGCCAGGGATCTTTATATTTTAGAGGCAGGGCCTGGCTCGCTCTGTTACATAGGCGGGGGTGCTGTGGTGCGTTAGTAGTTCCTTGCAGCCTCGAACCCTTGGGCTCAAGCGATCCTCCCACCTCACCCTCCAGAGTTGCTGGGACTACAGGTATGCACCACACCCGGCTAATATTTGTATTTTTTGTGGAGGGGGGTTGGGGGGGGCTCTCACAATGCTGTCCAGGCTGGTCTTGAACTCCTGACCTCAGGCGATCCTCCCGCATCGGCCTCCCAAAGAGCCAGGGATAGGGATCTTTAATAAACTGGAAGTTCCTGAGCTGCTTAGCAAACCTTGTCCTCTGACCCTAGCATGAGTCAGAACCGTAGCAGTTTACTTCCGAGGGCCGGAGGATTGCTGCTGTTTTCTTCAAATGTTTGTACTAAATCCAACCTCGAGAGTGAGTCACATCTCCCTGGCTTGACTGCCAGGGAACCTTGGGCAAGTTTCTTAACCTTTCTCAGCATTTTAAGTTAGAGGATTCGGACGGACAGGGTGAGGGTGGATTGCTGGAGCGAAAGAGGAGAGGCCCAGCACCACCGGGGGCCGGCAAGCCGCCGCACTGGGAATCCAGAGATCCAAGTAAATGCAAAGAATTGCAACACACACAGAGGTTAAGAAAGAAAAGTTTATTTAAAAGTAAATTAGAGCCGAGCTCGGTGGCTCAGCCTGTAATCCCGCGCCTTTGGGAGGCTGAGGTGAGGGGATTGCCTGAGCCCGAGGGTTCGAGACCTGCCTGGGCAGCGAGGCCTCATCTCTACAATAAATCAAAAAATCAGCCGAGCGCGGTAGCGCATGCCTGTAATTCCGGCTACTCGGAAGGCTGAGGCAGAAGGATCGCCGGAGCCCAGCAGGCGAGGCTGCGGTGGCCGGGAACGGCCACTGTACTCCAGTCTGGACGACAGAGTGAGACTCCAACTCAAAAAAAAAAAAAGTAAATTAGAGAGAGAAAGAGAAGGAAGAGAGAAGATTCACCTCTCCGAGGTGGGGGAGGAGGACCGAAGCCAGGAAGCATGGTGACAGCCATAGCTCAAAGAGCACATGGCCACACCAGAGTCTAGCAAGACAATGGGCGCTGGTTGCTTTGGTTGAGTCCTTTTAACCATTCCCCTAGATGGGGAAGATCATTAAGTTGATTGGGTGGTGGTCTGCTTCCACCTCATCATAAAGGGGCAGACAAGCACAGGTACTGATGATGTCAGGTGATGGACAGCAGGCAGATGGGTTGGTTAGTCACATGATTGCTGCCATCGTAGGGCATATCTGTGTCACTTAGTTCACAGAGGACTGATTGGGTTAACCCTGGGGGGGTTCCTGCAAGAGCCTTGTTAGACATTTGCAGTTCACAAACTCAGACATTTGCAACTCACAGATTCCTTGACCAAAGGCCGGTGGTCATATTACTGCTTTTATGACTTTGGTCAGTCAAAGGGTGATCTTTGATCTTGGGTCTTGACAAGGAACCTAAAAGTTTACTAGAGATTATTATGCTAAACCATGAATGGTTAGGCGTCCTGGTTTTGCATCTGAAGGAGATTTGCTGAGGAGGATGGAATAGGCTGCTGCTTATTCTGTAGTAGAATGTCTGAATGTTTTCTAATGGTTAAGCTGAGGCAAAAAGACTAAAGAATAAGCTAAGTTTCTTCTAGGTTTCTATAGGTACCTTTCAAGGACAAGTTTTTTTGAGGCACAGTGTGGACGGGTAATATGAGCTGAATGCAAGAAATAAAGGGTTTGGCCAAGCCGAGTTGGTTGTATTTGTATTTCTCTTCCTTGTCTGTGGATCCATTCAACAGAAGTTAAATGCAGACTGCGGGGTCCTGCCCTGCAAGGTCGTGAGATCTCCTGAAGGAGAGACGGATAGGCAAAAGACGAAAACATTATACTCGGACACCTGCTTCCTGAACAGATGACAATTTAATGTTAG